AAACAACTTTAAAAACTATATGATTTTGAAGAAACAATATAAATTATCTGGCTCGAGGTCTAAATAAGTTATAGAACTCCTGCTCCTCCTTTTTAAATTCAAATAATTTTGAAGAATTGTCCTCTTATCATTACACATGACCCTTCGAGTATGTGTATCCTTGAAGATTTCAGGTAAGAAAATATTGTGTATGAAAATGTACATTTTTACCATATTGTTGCTTACACCAAAATATAATATAGTGACTCACCTGAAAAATTGCTGAATATCCAGGAACTCTCATAATTCAAGTTACCTAATTCTTTTTTCTCACTCTCTGTAATCCAACTCTGTTGTCATGGCCTAGATATATTTGTGATATTACAATAACAGAACACATCTTGAAATTTATAAAATTTACATGAATCTTCTAACACAGGATTATTTTCCGTAGACATGAACTCTCTCAATTATTTGAAGTTCCATGTTTGCAATAATATTGAAGATTTCCAAGATATAAAACTGTGTTCTACATTTCTTACAGTTTATGAACCACCCCAAAAATTAGGTCTTTGTTCTGAGAAGCAGTGAAATAAGGGTTAAACACCTTCACCACCAAATAATCGGCATGGGTGGAGCACAATGTTCCATAATTTAAAAAATAACAAAATAAAACTTTAACCTCAGAGTATTGCTAGGAGAGACTGAAGATAGAATTCCAGTGTTATACATTTCTTCATGTGCATTAATGCATTCAAGTTCTATCACCAGTAATATTCATTCACAAGAAACCCATGGGTTGCTTTCTTCTGGAACACTAATGGTGGAGAAGAAAGGAGAAAAGTTTTAGGTACATTTACTTCTTTCTCTGGTGATCTTTTAAAGCTTTCAATAAAAATATATCCTTTAGGAATGTGAAAAGAATCATGTTCTTTGTTCCTTTCTCTAAATATATGAGAAAGACAAAATATATAAGGAAAAACAAAATGAACAAACTGACATGTTATGAACGATTTATATACAGTATTCATTTTGCTAACATAAGGGCAAGTGTAGAATTATAAACTTTTTTTTATCATAAACAAAATCAGAGTTTCAAGATCATATGCTCCTTACTTAAAATCCCACAAATAAAAATTTGTTCATGGAAAAATAGAGATATTTTGAATACTAAAGTCCTTTATTCAACAACACAGAAATTTCACAAAAACAACTTTACTGGGCAAATTGAATTTGTTTTTTTTTTTTTTTTTTTTACTTTTTTTTACAGTTTTGTACATGCCCCATATGTAATTTTCTTTAATAAATACACCGTTTTCCAAAACTGCTTTTTTATAATTGCACAAGCATACATACACCTTACACAAATATCTATTAGAAAATTTAATAGATAACTGCACAGTTCAGAATAGGAGAACACTGTGAAAGGAGTACATTTTGTGGCCCATGTTCCTGAAATATCTCTGACTTCCTTGCAATTATGAAAATAGAATCCCTCCTAACATAGTAGCTGTCTTTCATTCACTAGGAATACAGATCTCAGTGTGAAACTGCCAAATTTAATAAAAACAAAATCTGAAACATTTAGCTGTTACATGAAAATCAACTGTTAGATATCACTGTGAATCTAACCATGATCAAAGACCCACTACAGCTTTTTGCTGAACATATTTGACCCTAAATGGTGTTCACTGAACTATCTTTTTTTTTTTCATTATTCGATTACAGATACTATCAACTTTAAGACTTTATACACTTTAGTATTAATTGTACAACTTACATGCCAGGGGTTCTGACTGAAAGGAATATTCCTTTCTTTTAGTGATTGTATAATATTAATTCATAAGAAGCCCACTACCTCTTATTCTCTATAAATGTGTTTAGAAAAAAAGAGAAGTTGGGTATTGGGAATTAAGCAACCAGGAGACGTTTTTACATACTCTTACACTGGAGGAAGACTATTGTTATTTCTCCCAAGGATGGATACATTTCTAGTTTGCATATATGCCTCCACTTCTACACAGGTAGAATCCATCAGAAAACCTGAAGTCCTGGAAAGAGAGAGGTTTGCAATATGATGTTCTTGTGATGTTTGGGTGCTGAATGACAGCTGACAAGAAAATTGGTGCACTATGTACCAACACCCCAAGGATTTTTCCATGCTCTCCCCAAATGCAGACAGAATGTGGCATCTCTCTGTGTACATCTAGAGAAAGCAAGACTTCTGTGTATGTAGACCTCTCTTACAAAGTTTTATTTGGCTCATGTGATATGTAATTTTTAAGTTGTACAGATAGTCCACATGATCTATATTCTGATTGTTATATTCTGAATTTTCTTGCTACTGAATATGAAACATACAGTGAGTAATTTTTAAAAGTTACATTTCATTGGTATTTTAGAATCATGAAAATGTAAACCTTAAAATCACTCCCTTAGGGTTATAATGATATGCTTTACAAGTTATCAGTACATAGACTTAGAGGGAAGAGAACTAGAGTGAGGCTGAAAGAGTAATATCTTGCTTCAGCATCATTAACGAGAACTTTATATGTACCCTACATTATATAAATAGAGTCTTACCAAAAACATAAAAAATTAGGTGGCGTAAAAGAACAATATCAAGAATAAAAACATATAAGAGAATTAAAGAAAAGCTACACTCTTCCATTTTAATAATCAACAGATTTTCTTTCATTAAAAAATTGAATTGACAAGTAAAACACCACATTTTACAATATACAGATTCATTAGTTCTTTAAGAAAACGAACAAACAAAAACACATCAAGACATGCAACACTAGCATGTATTTTAGACTCTTGGTACATTGCTATGAGATCTTTATATGTTATTGTATGCCTAATTTAGCCTGAATAGAAAGAAGTTTGCTTCACCTCTGTAATAATAAACATCATTTTTCCAAAAAGCAAGGCAGGCTTACCATTCAAGTGTGAAAGTAAGTTTTCATTTACTTGTAATTAATTAGCAAATTTGTTTTAAAAATAAGTAAAAACGGAACTAGAAAGAACTCATATAGCTCTCATGTTCCCACAGCAGAAATAGAAATTCTAGCTAGAAACCCTCAAAGGAATATACAGCAAGTATAAAGCTATCTCAAAATTAACATACAGCATGTTTTAGTTTGCGATTATTTCTCTCCTCTAAAAATGGACAGATGTAATACATAACGAATTTTCCTCAAAAACGCAATTTGACCGTAACTGTAGACCTTGCAGTCATATTCTAGGCAAGTTAACTAAATAAAACACACTTGTTTTCCACATCAGCATTTGTAATTTATTCACCCGTCCCTCCAGAATGCTCATGATGAAGTGCTCCTTCCACATTTTTAAAAATCTCCTGTTGTATTATTTCTCATTCAAAACTACAAGTAGCCTTTTAAAATTATTTATCCACTAGTCTCTCTCTAAAATTTTGCAATCCTTTCTATCTCAAGTTATCTCTTCTCAAGTTATTTTTCTTTGCATGATCCATTTTGTTTACATTTTTCAAAAGGCTAATGGATGCCGTAGGCTAAAATAACTGGCTAGGAGATAAAAAACAACAACAACAAAAATGACAGTAACATGGCAACTTTGATACTCTGTGTTTTTGCTAAACTTTTATTGCTGAAGCTGAAAATAGTCTCTATAACCTGACAAAAAAATAAATAAGCTTCTTAGGTGTCATGTCACCACAAATAACATTTGTCCTCCTTAGGAACCCTGACTGCCATAAGAAAACCGAACCCTACATGAAAAGGTAGCCTAGGACCGATGAAGCATTACTCTTTTGTATTTGCAGGGCTATTTGAATTTATAGAATCCACAGACTAGGGTCCTGCCTTCTCAGGAATGACAGCATCATCGAGTGACAAGAATGGACATGGGAGCAATGGAACATTTCAGTGAGGGCCTAGGGGAAGACTGCTGGTCCAACTGGGAGGCTTTGAGAAAAGAAGATAAAAAGACATTTAAAAACCTCACTTTTATGAATGTGTTTAATTCTTTTTAACTTAAAAATATACCTAGGCATGCCTCAATGCAGGAGGCCATGATGTGCTCACATTTTAAAACAAAACTGTCCACTTGCTATACATGTAATTAAAACATTCGGATACATTTTACTGTGTTTATTTTTCCTACCAAAAAAATAAGGCAAAAAATAAACAAATTAATAAAAAATGTATGCAGCCCATGCCGGGCTGGCAAAAAAAAAAAAAAAAAAAAAATTAGTCATGGATTTCTCCCCCTAAGATATGATACTTTATTCTGTATCCTAGAAAAACACTGTTTAAAAAATTTTTATACAACTGATTCTGCATGTTCCAACTACTCTGAGTACTCCGCCTTACAGTGCACCCCAAGACAAGTCAACTACACTAAGTATTTGGGAGGTATACCCTTCTGTACAGCTCGTTTGTAAGCAATGCAAGTGCATAACCACTACTCTAATATAGTGCTCAAAAGATTAATTGAAACTTTCATCACATCTTCCCCTCTTATAACAATACAACTGAAGGTAATTGCCAGATGCATCATAATCTTTTCGTCTTGTAAAACTTGGCATCGAGTCTCTACAGAAAGATGCATGGCAAAACACGCCACTGCTGTTGCTGCTTCTAGAAACAACTGGCAAAAAATATTTAAAGCTAAAATTTATTGCTCCAGATTTAACTCGCAGAACCGTACTGTTGTGTACAAACTGTTAATCTCCATAGATGCTCAGACGTGATTGTCTCCTTGTGTCTAAACACACAAAATACAAGCGGCTATCTGTACAGTTTACAGTACTGAAACACATATATTTGAAAATGAAGTATAGATATGTACTTTGCAAAGATACATGATTTTACAGCAGGGGTTTACCCAAACTTATTTTTTACAGCCACTTTCAAAATAGACAACAACTTCACTAGTATTAAGCTAAATTACATCAGAGAAAGAATCAGTGTATTGAAATAGAATGGCCAATTCCCCAAGCTCCCAAATAATTTTTATGTCTTTTTCTTTTCTTCTCCTTTTTTTTTTTTTGAGGAAACCCCTATACATAAAATGAAAATAATATCTGGATATTTTCTTCAGTGGTGGACTAAGCAGTTTCTTAAAACAAGACATTAGTTTGCCCTTCACTTCCAAATGCCTTGAAAAAGATATACTACTGCCTTAAAAGAACCATCGGAATGCTTCAGCGCTGGGAACAGGTGTTCTCTATAAAAAAAAAAGCAAGAAAACAAGTTAAGCTTTCTTTCACGCTGATATAAAATTAGATTTTTCTCCTTTATACTTCAGCAATATTTTTAGTCATCTATACACAACATAATGACTTGTATATTTCAACATTTAATAAAAAATAAATGTGATGTATCTTAGATTATAAAAATTAGAATAATTAATTTAATTCTAATTTAGTAAATAGAATGATTAAAATACATTAGTCTAAAAGAAAAAAAGAGGAACACAGCCTAGAATACAGATATTAATCAGAATAAAAGGGAAGGTTCAAGCTATTAATCAATAGCAAGGAGATGAGCCAACAAGCGTACTTAACACCTGTATCTGCTACATACATATGCATCCTATGTAAGGCTGATGTTTATAATTCAGTAATTTCTTTATTCTGGAGAATTTCTTTTATGAAAGAACCACAATAAATATTACATCAACATTACTTCTATCACTTAACAACTACTAATGATAAACATTTCTGCATATACTCTAATCAGAACAAGATTGACAAAATATATAACTATTTTAAAGTAAGTCTGCATTTCAACCAATTAATGCATATATATGAAATCAACTTACACCTAATTAATGATCCTCAATGGAACATAACTATCCTTTTGTATCATAAAATATACTATAGTTTTCCAAAGGAGTAATAACCTAGCACCAAAATATGAGCACTTCTTTTAACAAAAAGCTTTAGTTACTATGTTTTTTTTGTTAAACAGTAGTTAAGCATTGAATTTTTCTCTCTATATAAACATTACAGCAATTAATCGTGCCATTCCCTTTAAAAAACTGAGAATCACATGAGTATATACTGAAGATACATAAGAAACAAGCTAAGCATAAGTTTTCCTATAGGGGCAAATGAAAGAGAGTTGATTTTATTCCTTAGACCAGTTCAACAAGTCTGTGTCGACTATAAGATGGCTGCTGAGGATAAATAAGTATATAAATTGGTATGTTGAATGTTACCAAAATATTACGTGAGTATAGTGCACACATGTGTGTGCACACACACACACATGCACACCTTGTAAAGAGTGTTAACACTTGAATTTAGTATTTCAGAAAAAACAAAAATTCTACTATAAACACTCTTTAATAATTGGGGTTAACATATATATACTTTTTCACATAACATTTGGTTAACACAGTCCTACTATAGTAATGCCATCTAAAAATAAAAGTGCATTAATTGATTAAGACATCAATTGAAATTTAAATGAATAAAATAATTCTTCTGGAAAGCAGAGCTACTTTCACTATCTATGCTAAAAATTATTTCAAAATAATTGATCTCACAGTCAATACCATAAATTTTAAAATAATGTGTTCAGAACAAACTAATATTATCTGATCCAAGTTTGCATATATGTGCATACAAAAATATTTAACTTGTGAAGTATTCTCTAAAAGCCCAAATGAAAAGTTTCAATGTTCCCATAAAAATGGTTCCTATCTTATTATTATTTTACTCCTTACTCCTCATAGTTTCATCTGTTTTCTTCTCACAGCTCACTATGCATACCTAGATCCCCATCATTTGCTTGGTTGGTGAGAAAAACTCCTTTACTGCTTCCTTAAGTTAACTTTTGAATGATAAATATAATAATTATATATGTTCATCACATTTATTTAATCATTATTAAAGGAACTATATGAAGAAACATAATATATTCATTATAATATTCATGCTTTACACACACACACAAACACACACACACACAAACATATAAGCAGTAAATGAAAACTTAGACGTTTATACCAGATGCTAACTTGCTGCCCGATGCCAACTAAGAATAAATTTTATATAAGTATGCATACTTATATAAATGTAGTCATTTTTAACAAGATATGTTAGATCTAAGCATATCTGTGCAATTAGATTCACATATGAAAAATAAACAAGTGCATATATATTCATGTATATTCACATTTACATGTATAGTATATGACAGAGATGCCAACTTACTCTCAGATGCCAACTGGAAACAAGATTGTAAGTATATACTTATATAATTTTGTATCTTGATAAATATATGTTTACAAAGATAAACAGAAAAAAATATATGGAATACATTTTTTAAATGAGATGAACTCCTTATGTCTTAAATGCATTTTTAAATCTCATTCTGACTCTTTGCTCTTCCTGTGCCCCTTTCCACAACTTGATTTAATTTGCGAAATTTAGAAAAAGGAAGCTTTATAAAATGCCACCTGAGATCGAAGGTCATTGTTTTGAGGAAAAAAGATAAGCACTTCTCAATGCTTCTTAGAACAAAAATTATAATTAGATAATGCAAAAATGAAAAAAGCAAAAGGCTGGTTTTCTATATTAACGCAATCTGTCACAAAATAGCTCTGTGATGTGTACATACTACTGTGCATACCCTGAGACCAGTATGTACCTCCATGTATAAGGATATGGACAATCCACTGCTCCAAGGAAGAAAGAAGATAAGCAGGGAAGCATCTCTTAAAAATGATTTCTCTCTTATATTAAGATCTTTGAGGTCAGAAGCCTAAAAATGATTAGGAATCACCTAAAATGTGTGAGAAAAGAAGCACCGGCATATCAATTAGAACAAATTATCAAGGCAGTCACCAGAAATTTGAAGTGTATGTTCTCTAAAAGTTTTATTTCAGGGTTAAAAAAAGTAACGAAGTTCCTTAGTGTCTCACAGGCCAGACAAAACACACGCATATCCAAACTCCTGCCCAATTTTCACTGGGCTCACTGGAAATTTACTGTAGGGCTGAACTGAGTTCTTTCCAAAATAGATGAGACGACATTGTTTTCATAGGTAAAATAGTGGGTTCAATTACAGAATTTTGATTCAGTCTGTACTAATTTGGGGACATATCTTCTCTAATTTCGTCAACTAAATAGGGCATCTTTGTAAGATGACTTTTATTTTCAATGGTGCAGGAGTTCTGCCCACCAACGCGGGAGATTACACAGTCTGACCAGCTAGCTACCTTTGGGTTATATCAATTCGAGAGGCCCAGCTGGGGAATCACACTCTTGATGAGATTACAGTGACTTTCTGGATCTCAGTGATGCTTGCAGGAAAATTGTTATCCTGAGTGACAGAAAAGCCAGATTCCCCAGGAAGAGAAGAGGGAGGGGTGGTAAAGAATAGAATTGAGTTGATCAGCATTGTTTAAGGCAGCCTTCACTACTTATGCAGGTGGAAACACTGACGAACAGCAGCCTTGCTCCCAGGAGGCCTGAGGAGAAACCTGCAGTCCCAGTTCTTCGAGTACTGCTTGTAAAGCTTGGTGTTCTGGAGAATTCATCTCTAGGTGAGCCAGATATGAAATGACCTTCGAGCTTAAAGGAATAGCTTCTGTTTCCCTCCTAAATAACTTTAAAAAGCCAGCATAGTTCTTTGAATGGAAGAATGATGTTTATCCAAGCCCAAGTACCTTTTACATTTAATATGTATGTATGTATGTATGTATGTATGTATGTATGTATGTATGTATGTATGTTATGGAAGGAATGTATTTCAGTTTGATTTTCATTAAATCAGCAATTAACAAATGATTAAGTAATATAAAATTAATAAGATTACCAAAAGCTGCCACCTTAAGAATTAAGCATAACGCTCTCTTTTCTGGTGCCTGCTAAACAGTCATGTGGATTATGGCATCTTGGGGCTGACCAGGCCTCCACATACTCTTGTTGAAATAGGTCAAGTCCAATAAAAACTCACTTCCTAAAAACTGAAAATGGAGTGTCTATAATTCTGTACATATGGAGATATGTAGAACTGGCTATTTATACATCTTGATACAATATGTAAAATATAGCAATATTCAGAATGCAATAAAACTAATCATTTTAATAGAACTAGATGGATTTTCGAAGAACAAATTAAAAATAACTCAATGCTAAAATTTACTTCCGAATGCATGTTATAAATTGAGATAATAACGATGACCTCAGCAAATTCTGTAAAGTTAAATATTTCTTTCCAATAATTACTTTTAATCCAAAAATCTCAGTGATTTGCCTACAGAATTCTACTGTGAAACAAGATGGCTCTAATGCACTGATTTCCAAGTTGAAGTCAGTATCTTGGGGTACCATTATCCGTACACTAATCAAAAAACAATTTTCTCTGTTCCCACTTATTATTAACGAAACATAAGTCATCCAATCATTTTCTGATTCCCATATAATGATTCTTTTTGCAACCAAAAGCAAAGCAATTTTAAATCATAGTTAAGCAACATAGCCTCTTGAAAGTCTTTAGAAATACTGTTTTCTGTGTGAGGGATCCCACTGTAAGTTTTTTAGACTCCTGGGCAACAAAGGCCTTGAAATTCGCAACTCCCACTCCATTTGATTAATTTCTTCACTCTAGAACTTGAAAACCTTAATGAACCACAGAATTTGCAATAGAAAGTATGTGAATAAATATGACAAAGGATAATAGTAGGTCTCATTGTCTGCCTTTAGATATTTGACTATATTTTGTTTTGACTTCATATGACACTTTCAACCTTTGGGGTGTTTCAGATGAAAAGGAAAAGAATTCCTGATGGTGGAAAAAAAACTTTTTTTCCCATGATTTGATTCACAAAGAATGCTAAAATGTACAGGTTAATTTTTTTACTGATGAAATTTCAAAACCTACTTGGATAAATGGAAAAATGTGTTATAAATAATATTATGAATGTGACTACACACACAGGCACATTAACACAACTCACTGGATAATTAGTTGGTCTAAAATGATACCTAGCAAATGTTACAGACTCCCCAGAATGTTTTCAGCAGAAATATGTTTCTGTCCTATTTACAAATAGTATATTTTAAAAATCATAGTCCAGCAACTATAATAGAATTATTAGCAAGAACAGGTATAAGATAGGTCGAATCAGTCTGAGAGAACTAATTTATGATAAATCATAATCTCACAGTCCAATAATTTCCTATTATAATTAAAAACTTTATATTTTAATAA